AGTCCCTTCAAAACCATTTCCATGAGCCTTTCAAAAGTTGCAGGGGCATTACATAGTCCAAACGGCATGACAGTAAACTGCCACAGTCCAGCACCCACGGTAAACGCCGTCTTTTCTCTATCTTCTGGTGCCATTTCAACCTGCCAGTAACCGCTTTTCAAATCCAAAGTCGAAAATATTTGGGATCCAGCCAATGTATCCATGGTGTCATCTATCCTAGGCAGAGGGTAGCTGTCCTTCTTCGTCACGTTGTTCAGCTGACGAAAATCGACGCAAAATCTAGTTGATCCATCCTTCTTCTTAACTAACACCACTGGGGAAGACCATGGGCTGTTAGATGGTTCGATCACCCCTTCCTTCTCCATTTCTTGCACTATTTTATCAGCTTCCTCTCGCTTAGCAAGAGGTAGCCTTCTTGCCGACTGTCGAATAGGCTGTGCATCACCGGTGTTAATTTTATGCTGGACAATTCTTGTCCTACCCTTCTTTCCTTGTCCATCATTAAAGACGTCCTGATAGTTGTGTATCAGCTCTCTCAGCTTTATTCTCTCATTTGGTTTTAAGTCCTTTGAAGAAGTCGAAAGCAGAGTCGTCAATTCATTGCTAATTTTCTTGGCCGGAACTCCAGACTCACGAATGCTTCTAATAATTGAGGAAACAGAAGAACAGTTCCCCAAAACGATTCCTTTTTTCAAGTTCACAGAGTAACCATTAACATTCAATACTCTTACAGGCACTTCTTTTCCAACACGTATTAAAGTCTTCCCTACTACAACTCGACCGACCTCTTTGTCATTAATTTTCGGCTCCAGAAGCATTATACTTCCATCTTCTGATTTACAATCCAAGAAAGCCTTCAATATCATCTCGCTGTGTTCCGGTATCAAAGCATCTTCTGTTAGCATTACACGAATATTCTTTTCTTTTGATCGATGCAACACGACTTCTTCTCCATTTACTCTCAATATTCCTTGTTGAAAGTTTAGTTCAAATCCTATAGAGTTCATAATGTCCATGCCTACAATAACTTCATCTTCAATATCTGCTACTAATGCTCGATGTTTAAACTTCGTGTTTCCTATGACCATAGTGATGTCCACTTCTCCATGAACAGTAGCAGTATCTCCTGTTGCAGTACGTAGTCGCCGATTGGTAGATTTTATCTTCGACTTTTCGACAATATCTGGCCGAATAATTGTCTTCGTCGCACCTGTATCCAGCAGCAGCACATGTAACTTTCCATTAATAAAGCCATCCACAAAAACACTGCTGGACTGATGTAGAAGAGATGCGACACGTTCGATATCCTCTGGGGCATGTTGGTTACAGGTCGACGGTTGCCCCTTTTCCTCGACCCTATCTAGTTTTCCGACTTGGATGAAGTCGGCGCCTCCTGGCTTTTTCTGCAACGACTTCGTATATGTCCGAGCTTTCCACATCTCCAACACCGGATTTCCTTCTTTTCTGGTAGATTCTCTTTAAGAACTCGCCTGATTTCTTCGATTATACTGGGTTCCTCCTCTTTTTCTTCCTCGGCTCTCCTAATTCTATGCTGGCTCCTGCAGCTCTGCTTTGCTGCCTCGAATTCCAAAGCTCGAGCCAATGCATCAACCAGCCTGTCTTGTTTCGTTGTCCCGAAGTCCATCCAAAAAGGCTTGAACCGCTAATCGTTCCATAACGGTCGTTGGAGTAGCTGGATATGCTAGCCGAACCAAGCGTGCAATATCAGCCTCGAATTCTTGTAAAGTCTCGTTTGATTTCTGGCAGCGATTCTTCAGTTGGGAATGGTACACATGTTCCAGATGTGTTTGGCCATATCGAAGTTCCAATTGTTTCACCAACGCTTCGTAATCTTCTTGTTCGTTGGGAGAAAGCGTCTGCAAGATGTCCGTTGCATCTCCGCGTAAAGCAAGAGTTAATGCTGTAGCCTTCTCCTCTGGTACCCAGCCATTTGCTTTTGCAGCTGCCTCAAACTGACGGATGTAATTTGTCCAAGAAAATTTTCCATCGAACTGAGGTGGTTTCATTCGTACTCGGCTTTCCTCCAGCACTGCTCCTGGTTCCGTCAGCATCATAGGTAAATTTACAGCTTTCAGTTTACTATTTATTTCTCTAATTTTGACCTCCAATTTCTCGTTCAATTTAATTCCATCTTTACGTCGTCAAATTTTTGCCCCATTTTCTTTTCTAATTCATTGACATTATCTAGAATTCTCTGTTCCAAATATTCTTTTAAATTTTTAGAATTTTCCAGAATTTTCTGTTGCAAATCATCCTTTAAATCGTTGGAATTTTCCATCATTTTCTGTTGTAAATCGATTTTCAAATCGCTAGAATTTTCTTGCATTTTATGTTGTAACTCGTTAGAATTTTCTTGCAGTTTATGTTGTAACTCGTTAGAATTTTCTAGCATTCTCTGTTTTAAATCGTTTAAATTTTGCAACATTAAATGCATATCACACGGGCCTTCAAATAAATACGTATCTGGATTTTCACCTTCCTGTTCCAACGCTTCTCGAAGCCGCTGCTGCAACACATTCTTTTTCCCAGTTGTATCACATTCTCTTTCTTCTAGCTCCCGCTTAAGGTCCGACACTTTTAAGTCCATTAACGAAACCATTTTCGCGAAGTTTCACACTAACCGCACTCCTGACACCAATTGTAACGTTTTTAACTGTTCGTAGTGTGAATAAAAACACGCACTGGTTAATTAACGAACTTAACTATTTATTTAATAACTTAACTACACTTAAAACACTATAAAACTAACTAAACACTTAACTACTAATTATTTATATATCACTATTGTTCAAAAGTCTATTTATTTGCACTTATATTTATTTATTTCGCCGCGAGTACCAAATCTTAACTGACTGCTCTGTGTTGCTCCGTTTCTTATATATTCAGCGCCAAGGTCTTCTGGAACATTCCAGCGAGCTCCACACTCTCGATTATTCGAGCGCTGAGTCACCGGCGATGACTCACCGGCAATGACTAATCGGTGATATCCAGGGCGGTACTCGCTACAGTATACTCTCTCTAAAAATGAATTAGTCAAAAATGACTAATTTAATAGTTATTAGTGGCTGCTTTTTCACTTGTTAACCATGGAATACCATGGTATTTAAAAATTTAACAGCTAATTATTAAGTAAAATTGTCCCCTGAATCCGAAAATGTCGTCAAAAGTTAAAAAAGTTTTTGAGATATAGTCAGTTTTCCATTTAATATGGAATTGACTATATTTTAAAAACTGCTCCACTTTCATAACTTTTGACGGTATTTTCGGATTCAGGGGACAATTTTACATAAGAATTGGCTGTTAAATTTTTGGATACCATGGTATTCCATAGTAAACCATGGTATAAGTGAAAAAGCAGCCATTTATAACTATCAAATTAGTCATTTTTGACTAATTCATTTTTAGAGAGCTGACTTTTCAAAGGCCTTCAATAGGGTTGATCATACTTTCTTGTTAATGAAGCTGAGATCAATTGGATTCAGCAATCAACTTTTAAATTTACTTCAATCCTATCTTGTTAATGAAGCTGAGATCATTTGGATTCAGCAATGAACTTTTAAATTTACTTCAATCCTATCTTGTTAATCGTCAATTATTTGTGACCTACAATGGTTTTGGTTCTGATGGTTTTAGTCCAGGCTCTGGAGTTCCTCAGGGTTCTAACCTGGGTCCACTATTATTTGTCCTTTTTATCAATGATATTGCCAATTTGGTAAAGTGTCAACATTTGATTTATGCTGATGACTTGAAATTGTTCGTTGATGTTTCAGATGCATCAGACTGTGTATACCTACAAAATCAGCTAAACCTTATAAATAAATGGTGCATCCTCAATAGACTTTTTTTGAATATCGGTAAATAAATATCCAATTATTTTTCAGTACACAATTAATGACGATTCCATATCAAGGTGACAGGTACCAGAGACTTGGGAGTATATTTTGATACCAAATTATCATTTTCAGACCACATCACTAGTATTGTAAAATCTGCTCTTAAAATGGTTGGTTTTATAAATAGAAATACTCAGTCAATGAATTGTGAGGGTGCATTGAAAGTTTTGTATTATTCATTGGTTCGTACCAAGCTAGAGTACTGCTCTCTTGTTTGGTATCCATATTATAATGCCTACACTGATCAATTAGAAAAAGTACAAAGGCGATTTTTGAAAATTTTAGCTTTTAGGCTTGACAATATTTATCCTGCTAGAGGTACTGAACATATTTTATTGTTGAATAGATTTAATGTTAGGTCCTTGCAATGTAGAAGATTTTTATATACAAAAAAAAATTAAGTATTAAGTATTAAATTTCTGTACGGGCTGTTCAGAAATGAAATAGACAGTACCTTTTTGATATCACTCTTTAACATTCACGTACCACGAATTAATGCTAGATCTATTCTTACTTTCTATAATACATATGCCAGAACCAATGTTCTTTTGAAATCTCCAGTATTTATCATGAGTGGTAACTTCAATAAAATATGCAATGAATGTGATATTGCAGTTGCCACTATTGAAAATATTACAACGTTGGCCATAAATTATTTTGAAGTTAGCTAAACTTATTTTGAATTTATAGTTATTTTAGTATTTGTTTATATATTCTGTATTATTATAATTGTCCTGTAATTGGAATTCCTTTTCTGTTGGGCAATAAAGATATTATTATTATTATTATTATTATTATTATTATTATTATTAATATTATTAATATTATTATTATTATTATTATTATTATTATTATTATTATTATTATTATTATTATTATTATTATTATTATTATTATTATTATTATTATTATTATTATTATTATTATTATTATTATTATTATTATTATTATTATTATTATACAAAAACAGAAATCATACTATATTTTTTTAACTAATAACTAAATGTTTGAACACATGTGGAATATAATTTTAACAACTTTTTTTACTTTAATAATAGGTACATAACTAATTTAAAAAATTTTTAGGCAGCTAGTCCTGCTTGTACCGAATTGGAAACCATCGTTTTAGATTGGTTAGGCAAAGCCATTGGTTTACCCGATCAGTTTCTTGCGTTTAAAGAGGGAAGTCGAGGTGGCGGTGTAATCCAAGTAAGAAAAAGCATACAACTTAAAAACTAGATTTTAAGGTATTAATTTTTTTTTCTTAGACAAGTGCTAGTGAATGCGTTCTGGTATCAATGTTGGCTGCAAGAGCTCAAGCCCTTAAAAGACTGAAGCAACAGCACCCTTTTGTCGAGGAAGGATTACTGCTTTCAAAATTGATGGCCTATTGTTCAAAAGAAGCGCACTCTTGTGTAGAAAAGGCTGCAATGATTTGTTTCGTGAAGCTGAGGATTTTAGAACCAGATGAGAAATCATGTCTAAGAGGAAAAACATTGTTAATGGTAACCTTTATACTTTAATTTAAAAAAAGTAAAATGTTAAGAATATCGTATTTTTAACATGTTATTTTTAAGTTTTTTTATATTTAGGCATACAAAAATCATAACATATGTATAAATTTATTTTATTAATAAAATATCGATTTAGGCAATGGAAGAAGATGAGACCATGGGTCTGATTCCTTTCTTTGTCTCTACTACCCTGGGAACCACTTCTTGTTGTTCCTTCGATAACCTTCCAGAAATTGGACCGATTTGTCAAAAGTTTACATCTGTCTGGTTACATGTGGATGGAGCCTATGCTGGAAATGCATTTATTTGCCCGGAGCTCAAATATTTGCTTAATGGAATCGAATATGCAGATTCTTTCAACACGAATCCTAACAAGTGGTTGCTTACCAACTTCGACTGTAGTACCATGTGGGTTCGGGACAGGATAAGACTCACTTCTGCTCTTGTTGTCGATCCTTTATATCTCCAGCATGGTTATTCTGATGCAACTATAGATTATAGGTATTGTATAGTTAAATAATACATTTTAAATATAAATGGATAAAACTAACAAGCTGCGTTAATGTATCTATCATTCTAAACAAATCAAAAGAATAAAAACCAATCCAGAACTAACCACGTGGAGGTGGTTGCAGATCGAGTACCCCCTAACCCTCCCACCCTTTAAATAAAGATAGTAAAAAAGTAATTTTTTTGTCGGTAGAAAATATTTTTTTGTTTTGAACTGGGCAGTACTTCCTTGGATTCAATACGAACCCTTATAAATACATATCGTGATTTTGGCCCACAAGCTGCTTTAGGGACTTCAGTCATTAATTGTACGCACCGTTCCTTTGCTTGTGAGTGGAATTTCATCTGGAACCATAAAAAACGTGTTAGTCAGTTCTTCACCAGATATTTCCATTGTTATTGGTGGTTCAGTTGTATTATCATAGTCTTTTCCCTCAAAATTAAGTTTATTGACAACTTTTGTTATCGTTAAGTTTCTACATTTTACATTTTTTATTACTGCCAACTCTCGAACAAGTCTTCCATCATCCGCCAACATCTCTATCAAAATGTTTTCTGAATGGGCAAAACGACCATTTCTCTCTATTACCGGATCGATGATTTTATTAACTCTTGGAAAGGTAGCAACACCTTCTACTCTTATCATGCTAAATATGTGCTTGGATGCAATTTTGTAGAACCGATTGCATTTAATTTTAAAGCAGCACACGGCCTACACTTTAATAACCAAGTAGGTATTCTGCTAGAATATTAGGGTTTTTAGAAGGTTTAGAAGTGGCTACATATATCCTTAAAATTATTTTGGTCGTCGTAAGCCATCTGACGTGGGACATTTTACATTACATTTTACAAAACCCAGTTTTTACCACTTACTAAGTTCTATAATAGCCACCTATTGGACATACAGGCTTTTCACATTTCAAAAAAAGATTATTTGCTCCACCCTAATATACACCTTTTTCAATTCTAGATTTTTACATTTTTACTTTTATAAAAATATCTTTAACCCAAGCTTTGTATTAGGTTGGTTTCATTATTTTCTTACATTGACAAATGGCTTATGAGATATATTTTTGAGGTTTTAAAGTGTGGAAAAAAAACGGAAAAATTGGGAATAAAACCAGTTTTATTCGTTTTTTTCACAGGCCTTGGAAAAATTGTTTTTTTTTGTGAAAAGTTGATTTTTAATAAAAGTAGCAATCAACAACTTAACATTATTTTAACTAAAAAACCGTAAAAGTTAAATATAATGTCGGTTGGATCCTTTTTGCAAAAGGGAGTTAAATTTCAAAATTATTATTTTATAAATCGATGAATCAAATAAAACGATAGTTGTGTTAATACAGCACCGAATATGTTTTTTTGCGGCCCGGTATATGAGTCGAAAGTTCACTTTTTTTCGTAAAAATTTTAAATTTTTAAAAAAAATTATCTTTTAATTTTTTGTATTACTCTTTGTATAAAGTGAAAAAAAAAGCAACAGTCAATTTTTCTGAAAATTTTCCAAATTTTCCGTTTTTTTTCCGGAAAGAAAACGGTTTTTTTCGCGGAAATTTTAAACCCTACTTAAAACCATGATTTTTATCATAATTAATTAAAAATGTTAATTAAAAAATACTTATTAATTATAATTGAATGGTGTTATGCAACAAGGATGATTTTTGGAAAACTGAGATAACAGCTTTCGAAAATGTACATATGTGTTTTTTTCATTATTTTGTTCATTCTAGATTAAAAGTTATAATTTTATTTCTAAATCGCTCATTTCGGTGGGTTTCTTGTTGACTACATAAAACTGGTGATATACGAAGTGTGTTCAGAAAATAACGGGAATTGTTAAATTTCGCGGGTTCAGAGGGTCCGGTTGTCAAATTTTCTTTATTATGTTGGTATACATGCCCCCGAAGTATGATAAAAACTTTAGCTGTTTTGATTGTTTACTTTGTCTGTGGCAGCCGCTAAGGTTAGACGTGTTTTATGAGCTCGGCGATTTTTCGTTCGTTAAAAGAAATGGATCAAAGAATTTGTATCCAATTTTGCTTAAAAAATTAAATAAATTCTGTGAAATGTTAACAAAGGCCTATAGTGAGTCTGCTATAAGTAAAACAAGAGTTTACAAGTGGTATAAGAGTTTCCAAGGTGGCCGTGAAGACGTTGAAGATGACGAACGCCCCGAACGCACAAGCACATTAACAACCGATAAAAACATGGAAAAAGTGGAAGAAATGGTTATAAACCATCAGAGAAGTCGTTGATGATGTTGGTATATCGATTGGCTCATTCATGAAATTTTTTCGAATGTTTTGGGTATGAAACGCGTGGCAGCAAAATTTGTTATAAAATTGTTAAATTTTGAACAAAATTTTTGGCCAAAAACAATACTGTAATGATGCCCCAGCCTCCATATTCGCCAGACATATCTCTGTCTGACTTTTTCCTATTCCCAAAAATAAAGAGAACCTTAAAGGGCCGTCGTTTTGCAAGCATAGATGACATTAAAAGCGCATCGCTGAAAGAACTAAAGGCTATCCCAAAGATCGAGTTTTTGAAGTGTTTCGAGAATTGAAAGAAGAGCTGGCACATGTGCATAATATCCAGTGGGAACTATTTTGAAGGCGACAACATTAATGTAGACGAATAAATAATTCCCGATATTTTCTGAACACGCCTCGTACATAGTATCAATTAATAAGCTGTTATCCCTTGGGGATAGTTCACGCCAAAGTCTTAGGTATTTGTTTGGTCGCCACTGGATTTGTTTACACCATAACTTACCTAACTTGTAAGCGGTTGTTTAACTGTGATTCTTATCGGTACTGCTGTCGATGATTCTAACGGGCTGACTATACTTCGATCGTCGACAGCTGACGCAACGAAACTTTAAAGTTATGCTTACAGGCCACTCAAAATTATTTTTCTGCATGACCCTTAGCACGAATATTTGGTAAAGAATATTGTTCTAAAATGGATATTTAAATATATACATAAGAAAATCTAAAATTGTATGTTATTTTATTTTTAATCAAAAATGCATATACATGTAAACATTTACATGTATTTACATGTAACTATTTATTTATATAATATTTAATGTTATAGACATTGGGGTGTTCCACTTAGTAGAAGATTTCGTTCCCTAAAACTATGGTTCGTTTTGAGAAGTTACGGAATTAGTGGCTTGCAGAAATACATAAGGCACCACATTAAACTAGCCAAGATGTTTGAAGGACTAGTTTTAAAGGATAAGAGATTTGAAATTTGCAACGAAGTTAAAGTAAACCTTTTAAAAACTCAAGTTTAAAAATATTTACCCAAAATTAAATAATTTTTTAGATGGGGCTGGTGTGTTTCCGCTTAAAAGGAAGTGATAAAATAAATGAAAAACTGTTGAGCAATATTAATGCTTCCGGGAAAATTCATATGGTACCAGCCAATGTTAATGATAAATATGTTATAAGATTTTGTGTGGTGGCTCAAAATGCCACTGAAGCAGATATAGGTAAGTAAAAGTTAAATACAATACAATAAAGATTATGAAGAAAAAATAAATAAATTGAATATTGATAATATGTATAGTGGACATTTTTTACATTATATTTACAAATTTTGTTTCAAAATACCTATAGAAATATAAAGATTTTGAGCATATCGGGGTGAAAACATTTTTATCGTAATAAACTTCAACATAACATAAAATGCTTTCGATAAAAATTGAAGTTGGCTATCATCTACTAGTAGTGAACCACTACTAAATACTTTTACGTTTTTCGTAGCTCAGGGGCCCCCTTTTTTATAAGGAAAACTTTGAATGGAGGTCGGCCCTCCCTATAATGAGAGTTTTGAATGGGGGTGTCGGCCATCCGTCAATGTGGGCGCCCCAGATAGCTAGTGTTCGTTACGCCACTGTAGCTGGGTATACAAAAATTAAATTTTAATGTAATTTGACCATTAAAAATAATCACATTTTTTGCTCATTCTTGGCTTAATATATTACTGATTTGAGTAGGGTAATTGTTTTGTACATTAATATTATTAAATTTTAGATTATGCATGGGATATTATAAAGGATTTTGCGGAAGAACTGCTGGATACACAGGCCGAAAAAGAAACGGTAAACTTTTTCCTTAATTTTTTGCATGTTAGAAAATATATATGCCACAATAAGTTACATTAGTTGTTATTTATAACTTATAAGTTATGTATTTAATAAATAAATTGTAAAAATTGAGGAGCTACTCTGCAAAAGCCAATTTTGGTTCTCAGGAATAGGTCAGTTAGGTGCTTTAAGCTGAACTACATCGGATCAAATTATGATATTTTTCTAACTAAGGGGTCTCGAATTTTGTAAATTTTTATATGAGTATGAGTATAAGTATAAGAACGTATGGCTGCCTCATCGGCAACCCCTTACACTGATCTTCCAGAGTTATTTTTACCACATTTCAGTTCTCATAAGTATCCCGCCACTGTACAGCATTACCTAGGTAATGCTGTGTTTGGTGGATACGAATTTTTACCTCGGCTGGTATTCTCTCTTAGAGGTCCTGGATGACAGTTTCAATGGTTAAGGCCACTCCCGGAATTTTGTCGCCATAGGCCCGATTTAGGCTAGTGAAGTGCGGGACAAGGAGGGAAAATATTTTGGTTTTTGAGGGACATCAGACCAAGAACCAAAACCAAGAACAATCCCCCTCAACCAGGAATTTAGTAATACCCCCATTCAACTGGGATACATGAATGGTTGGTTAGTACGCTGCTATGACCCAACCCCACTCAACCCAACCTATTCTGCTGATCTTGTAGTACTTCCTGTTCATCTTAGTCCGAGTCTGCTGAAAATCAAAAGTTGCTAAAAGTATGCAAATGTTTGCCCCACTGTGCGAAACCATTTCTACAGTCTAGAGTTCGAGCATTATCGATAGATAATTTTCGATGGTCGGCAATTCAACTACCGATCGTTATCGATAGTGTCCGTCTGCGTACGTGTAACTGCTGAAATTATGCTGAAAATTGGTAAGCGCTTTAGAATTTTTTGCTCCCCTGCGAGATACTCAATCTTGTCTTTAATACTTACACACTACATTGTATATAAGTGATTTTTATGTTTCTTTAAGACTTTTATTATGGTTAGGTACCAGTTAGGCTCCAGTTCGAGCACATCTGTTCGGCTGCCCGTCTGTATTGGTACTGAGGTCTCGAATTTTTTTAATTTTTACATTTTTTACAAAAAAAAAACAATTTTCTTGATTAAGTATGTATTTAGCAAAGATTTCTCCATATTGAAATTAATAATTTTATAAAAAAACTTACGTTTTGCAAAGTAGCTCCTTAATTTTTTTTAGTTTAAATTACTTAATTATTATTTAGAAATATTTAGGTTAACAACAAGTGAAATATTTTAACTTAATTGGCTTTCAATATATTAAGGGGTATAATATAACTTCTGCTGGGTCAGAAAATTGAATATTCTCAAAGTATATATCCCCATATTTCCATGCCAAATCGGGCGCGAAAACCGGACGTCTCCGATTTACTTCAAATTGAGGATCTATAGTAAAAACCAAAAAATTTAAAAATCTAAAATTTTAGCACTTTGTATGCATTTTTGCGGATTTTGCACTGAGTTTCTTTAAAATTCACACATACCTTTGTTAAGCACCGTCAAAAAAAAATTTTATTTGTTTTGTTAAACAAAATAGAAAAAAATTCAAAATTTGACATTTTGAGAAACCGCCATTTTTTTAAATCTGAAAAAAATCAAACTTATGGTCCTAATATTTGCGCAATTTTTGAGTATTACTTTTTTGCGTACTCGAAAACTGCAGGTTCCGACAGGTAAGTCAAAAATTGTCGTCGATCAGTGGCGCGATTTAAGGCACTTCCCTGAAGAAAAAAAATCATAACTGCAGTTTTTGAATTCGCAAAAAAATGAATACTCAAAAATTGCGTATGATTTTTTTCAGATTAAAATAAAATGGCGTTTTTTCAAAACATAAATTTATTTTTTAAATTTTGTTTTTTCTATTTTTTATGGAAAAATTTAATTTTTTTAGGCAGCGTGAAAAGTGAATGTGTTAATTTTTTAAAAATTTTCTACTGTTTAATTTTGGAAATACTTTAAAACAAAGAAACTCACTTTCAATGTTGAATTACTTATAGTTTATAATGTAAAATCTGCTTAAAAAGGGCATGGATTTTTTCATTTTGTGGATTCCACTGTTTGAGTTCCACTGTAGACCCTGAAAATTTGAAGCAAATCGGAGACATGTCCATTTTTCGCTGCCGATTTGGCCCATATACTTTTCAGAATAATTTCCAAATTTTTTTATCACGTTAAATAATTCAGCTTAAAACTTAAAACGCGGTTAAGTGCGGTTGCGGCAGTGTCGGTTAAAGAATTCGTCAGGCCCCAGCTGTAGGAGTTTTTGGGCCCACTTAATCCCTCAATATTTTTTTGCAGTACTTTTAAAATTTCCAGTTTAAACTATACAATAACTGTTGCTAAATCTTTAGAGGCTGGTGGCTTTTGTTCAATCCTGGTTGCAAAATATAAAAAATAATAATAAAAATAATCATGTTCTCAGCAAATACTAACATAACAAAATAAATAAATAGTCGAAAATTCAGTATTCCATGTTATTTTGCTTAATTTTGGTTTTAGAAACCACGTGGTCATACTTATTTTGTAAAGTTGACTGATATTTAGCCATTTTTGAAAATTTTAATGGTTTGGCCTTAAATCCGATTTTTCACAAAAAAGCTTCTTAAATAGGAAAAAATGCAAAAATATATCAATTTTAGATTAAAAATATTAAATAGCCCAATATCTTTAAAATGTGAAAGAAAAAAATATTATATTTTATTGTTTTAAAAAAATGCATAGCATAATATCAGGTTCTTGTGCTCATTAAAAAAATGACTTTACAAAAGGAGTATGAGCAAGTAATTTCTCAAATACCTAATATTATAATTTCTAAATAAAAACTTGCCCATGTTGTAAGGTCAAGAGTTACGTAAATAAAAAATAAAAACAAGTATTGTAAAAAAAAATTCGGTCTAACTTTCCGGAGTCATATGGACTACCCGGGCCCCGGCCGGCCGCCCCAACCGCTCCTAGGATAAACCGGCACTGCGTTTCGGTGAGCACGATTTCTCAAAAACCAATTTACCAATCAATCTGAAATTTTAAACTTGGTAATACTTTTAAGTAAAAAGACCTTATACCTACTTTTTTATACTACTGATTTTTTTAATTTAGTTAAGTCCCTCCCGATATATCGTGCTTACCGCAAACATTAAAAAAAAAGTTAACACAATTTTTTAAATTTTCACATAATTTTTTTTACAAACGATTCAAAACATACAATCAATAAAAACCCTCAATTTTGCCGAGCCCAAATGTTAACCCATGTGAAGTTACCACATCCTTTAGAACCCTCAAATTTCTGAGTTCTGAGTAATTTTTCGACATGGTGCGATTCTGCAGTCTTTATATGCATTTGTTTAAAAATAAAAATTGGGGTGCTAACTTCATGCCGCACCCTTTTTGGATGGAGGCGGAGTTCTAGGCAACCCTTAGAACATTATTGTATTTACCTTTTACAGCATATTTTCCTTCCGGAACTCAAGGGTGCTTTGAAATAAATTACTTATTTAGACGATTAAAGTCAAAAAACATTTTTTACATTTAATAGAAATCGGCCCAGAACTGTTACCCTATCCAAAAAGCTTGCGGCAGAAAGTTAGAAATTTTTGTTTAAAAAAATGCACATAAGGACCTCAGAACTCTAATCGCACCCTGTCTAGAACTGTACAACTATTAAAAAATTACTCTAAACAAATTTAAGGGGTTCTAAAAGATGGGGTGCTAATTTTACATGGGTCAAATTTTTATGTGTTAAATATACTTATTGGACTATCTCAACACATTTAAAATTATAAACCAATATGACTAAGGTTTAATATCTTTATAAGACAACATGTTGTTAACAAATATTTAAACTACATTGTATAGGTATTTATTTAGTTTGCCACACTAAATAAATGACATATATAAAAAACTTTAAATTGCATCAAGCAGTAGGTATTTTAAAATTCCATTATTCAAATCTAAGAATAATGCTTTTTAAATTTAAATAGCTTCAGAGCAATTAAACTTTATTTCCCCCAATAACGATTTGTGACCCCATTATCTTCGTAATTAAATTAACCTTAAATTTAAATCGTAAAACTAAACGAAATGACATCGTATTGTTTTAAAGATATTTTTTTTTGCAAAATTTGATATAATATTTCTGCAGGAGTTGCAGGACGAGGTGTTCGAGCTTCTGGAGCGCAAGAAAAAAGAAACGCTCGCTCAAAAAAGAAGTTTCTTTGTGCGAATGGTTAGTGACCCAAAAATATATAACCCGTCAATAGCCAAAGCTCTTCCTTCGACAAGAAGACATCTCACTCAGCCAGCAGAATCTCCAGAGAATCCCATTACCGTTCAACCACCTGCGTAAGTAAATATATCATAAATAATGTGTACATTGAGTAGGAGTTTAATGCTATTAGGATTTGTGATTGAAATAAAAGGTTAAAATATTTGATATATATAGAAGGCAGTGAAACAGGTTCTTTCTTAATAAGAAAATTAATAAATTTCAACTACCAGGAAACAAAATATATTGTAAATGTTAAAAAAAACAACAAAGGACATAAAAATATTCGAGTTCATCCCACGCAATACACAGTGGTAATTTATAGCGATTTTCATATAAAACTAAAATGAAATGCAATGTTAAGTTTAATATGAAAAAATATTATTAAACTAGTTATTACTTATGCAAAAGTAAGTACAACTTCGTGGGTAATACTCACTGCGTATAAATTTAAAACAAGATTCTAAATTATTCTATAATTAAAAGTGTTCAAAAACGCCATTAGTAAACTTTTTTATCCTTATAAGGTTGTATACATGAAAATAAATATTCTTAAAACATTTAAATAATATTCAATTTTTAAAACCTTATATACTATAATATATTATAGTAGTATAAAATAGCTTTAGAACATATTTTAAAAATAATGTGGAAGGAATTGTGTTTAAAATATGAAGAATGGTCCATAAATATTTCAGGCTGTTTTTAACGAAGCGCATCCATGGATACCATTGTTCTCACATCGATTTATATGGAATTTAACTCTCAGATAGACTAACTGGAACTTAACCAGAGATTGATAAACCGGGCCTAAGAGATCACAACGTCTTCAGTTTGCTCAGATTTATTTTCCTTAATTTTATTTTTCGCTTCTGTTGGAATTCACCTACTAGGTTTAGAGTTATAAAATTAGCTTAGCTTTTTTGTAAATTTCTTTAAGAGAACTTCTCATGATTTAACTGGTCTTGAAGTTAGCAGTTAGCTTCCACGGAAAATAGCCATGTTCTAAAATGTAATTGGCAATTGGTAAAGCACAGAATTAATAATCTTTTACCACAAAGGTGTATGTTTAACAATTGACGAAGTATTCGTTTCTTTTCGTTTTGTCTTTTCTTAAGATCTTAATGTTTAAAATTGGCGCCTTTTTCCGCGGTCACCAAAAATAAAAGCGGATCTTTTGCGGATAATTTCAGATGACTAGGGAAATTTTTTTAATATTTGACATTGGCAACTCTGGCCGGTTTAAAAATTTTCTGCCAAATATTTCATTTTATAAGAACCTCCTTTTGCAGTCAATTCCCATGTTACCAGTGGCGGCTGGTGGATTTTGGGTATACCAATATCTCAATTATTAGATATGGGACCCACACCAAATTTATATGAGTTTATAATGACATTAAATAAACGTTCTGCGCAAGCAGAATTTAAATTGAAGTTTGCGAAAAAAAGATAACTTTTTGCTCGGCCGTACCGGCTCTTTGGGGCCCCCAATAAATATAATATAAATTTAATTGGTGCAATTTATTATTTACCATAGTTCATCGACAAATTTCAAATTTTATTTAAGAAATCCAAATCATACAGATTTTATATCATTTTAAAGTTTTATTATTTTTTTGAAAGGAAATATTAAAAATTTAAAATGGTATAAAATCTGTATACTTAATTTCGATTTTTTAAATGAAGGTTAAGATTTTTCTATAAACTATGGTAAATAATAAATTGCACCCATTAAATTTATATTATATTTATTGGGGGCGCTATGGAGCAAGTACGGCCGAGGTAAAAGTTATCTTTTTTTCGCAAACTTCAATTTTAATTCTGCTTGGGCAGAACTTGTTTATTTAATGTCATTATAAACTCATATAAATTTGGTGTGAGTCGCATATGTAATAACTGAGATATCGGTAATACCGATATCTGGATTTTGGGTATACCCAAAATCCACCAGCCTCCACTTTTTGTTACCCACAGACTTGAGGTCAGTTGGCCCTATACATTCTATATTAATACACATAACTGATAGTCAGCACGTATTAAATTACATAAAGTTTTAATTGCTTCTGGTTGTGTAGAAGCTGGCCCAAGTTGGGTTTTTAAATATCGAAACATATAAATAGGTATATCTATTCCTGTTTACTACTGGCGAAAATTAAAATTAAATGATTTGTTTTTAAAATTTTCTCACATTTTTATTTTTACCCATAGACATATGAGTGTGAGTAGACGGCAACCTCCCTCATTTAAAAGGTAAATTAATTAAGTTCGTCAAAATGCACTCCCATTGTAGCGCTATGATAAGTAGTAATGTAACAACAAATACTCAATTTATTTATATTGTGGTTTTAAAATTTTACCAACTCATTAGAAATATGTTGTGTTAACAATTTATTTACACAATTGCATTTTACGGAAAACATAAAATTACATAACTAAGGTATCTCAAGTGATACTAATTATATTTAAAAATAAATTTTCCACGGTTTCATTAAAATTTATCTAGGAGCCCAATTGTTCAATTAGAACTCCTGGGATAAATAGTTTTCACTGAAACTAGTAGTAATTACTACTAGTTCCAGTGAAAAATATATTTCCCAGAAGTTCTAATTGAACAATTATTATTATTAATACATACATTTTGTAAATAACACTCCTGAACAAAACCGGAAATTTTATATTGTGTTACAATTGTAATGATTTTAATATATTGCGGAAGCTTTTATCTTGTTCATTGCTTGCTCTTTAGTATTTAAGAATTTGGTGTTTTTTGCCATATATAGGTATACCTCACATTTTGTAAATATTATATTTTTAATTAGTTTTAAAACTTTTAATATATTGATTTTAAATAATAGATTTAAAGGATAATTATATACTGGTTAAAAACCTTTCGCTTTATTTCGTAGTCAAAAATTGTTATTTTAATTCATAAATCACAGTAAAATTTAATGGCGTCAGATAATTTCCACATCAGGAAAAAACTAATTGATTTTTGAACAAAATAACATGAGTAGACTGGGCAACCGATATTAGTGTCTAATGTATATAAATAGTCAAGAAAAAATGTTTAAAGGCATTAATGGAAAATAATGCTGACGCAAAAATCTGTGACTTGTTTTTCCCAAATGGTGCAGAATTGATGGCAAAAAAATACTTTTAGATCTGCTTGTATAATAATAACTAGAACTAACTAGAATGCAATGTAATACTTTTATATATATAGGTAGGTAGTTATTTAAAATTTTTATTTTTTTATCCAGGAATTAAGGAAGATGACATTTTTTATTTCTATGACGTGCTATATAAGAAAGTGTTAATGAATAAATCTAAACGACTTACATTTTTTCCTACATGCAGGATTAAAAAAAAATTAAAGTGTTACTTTTTAATATATAATATCTTCTAAAGCACTTAAGGTATTATTTAATACTTTGGTGTTTATTAATGTGATATAAAACTACATATTTTATAAAACCCTGCCCATACATTAACCGAAAATCCATTAGGACTGAAAATTCTGAATAGCATTCCCAGAAAAAATGGTTTATCTGTAAACAAAATTTACAGATTTAATGTAAAATTCTGAAGGTAACACTGACACAAGTTCACACGATGTGGAAAGTAATTATTATACTCTTACGTACTGATATAACAAAAATTCATCAATTCGACAAACAATTCGATGACAAATATTTAGAGCTCTAGCAATCTTCCTTGTGTTCGTCTATTTCCTGCATAATGCCTTCTAAATTTCAGGGTTTTTAGCAGTTTCAGGTCTTACTTCTGAATTACCTTTACGAATAGGTACTACCAGTTTCACTGGATATTCGAAAATAATCGGCTTTATTATAGGATATTGAAAAAAAATCAAAAAAAGGAGTTTTTTTAAGCAAAAATAACTTAATGTATTATTATTATTATTACCTCAAATATAAAAACTTACACTTTTTGGGTTAGAATTAGACGAATAGAATATACGGATTCAACTGGCGAAGCAATAGAATATCTTTGGGGACATCCATTAATTACCTGATAATTTGGACCCCTCCCTCCCCCTTGGTGAGATTTGGTGAGATTCTACTAGAATCATTCTAGCCATTAAACTTTCTTTGCGGACAACATGATAAACCCAAAAAATAAAAATTGATTACTTTTTTTGACAAATTTAAATTATAATACATATTCTTTACACCCAAAAGTTGACGTGAGATTTTTAATGACCCCCCCTCCCTTAACATGAGATTTGGGAGACCCCTCCCCCCTATTTTTACCTCACGTAATTAATGGTTGTCCCCTTTTTTAACTAAAGTATGTAGTTTTATATCCTTTTTATACTTACCTAAATACAAAATAATATTTTAAACACTTTCGAAGATATTAATTAGAAAGTAAAACTTATTTCTTTCAAAACTGTTTAGCAAAAAATTTAAGACGTTTATATATTTATTTATATTTATATAAACATTTTCATTATTATTGCCTATTGCCCTTACGTTAATTTTTGTAGATAAACTGTTATATAATGTGTATGTTTTATGATATTTTCGAAATAAAATATTGTTTTAAAAATATTTACTCGTTGTAATAACTAGTATTTGTTTTGATGCTTTATAACAACCTGCATAAATTGCACTTACTAGTTACATCAGTTTGATTAAATTATCTTATTAAAATTGCGCGTTGATTTCAAGAAAAATATATGTGCATTAACATTTTAAATAATTATTTTTAGAACTGCATCTTGGATTTCATGGCCTTTGGCATTCTTGTTCCAAGGAATATCCGAAGAAGGGGCTGCTGGTACAATAAGGTTGTTGTTGTTGTTTTATTTATTTTATTTGTAAAATTAAACATTTTTTTAGATTTCGTCACTTGGATACAAAAGTGCGTCTAAAGGCTGCAGGAAAAAGTCCCAACAATGGTTCACCATCACCCGATGGAGAAAACAGCAGATCTCCGAAAAGATCTCCTGTCAGTTCTCGAAGAGGATCTCCTACTAATAATGAATTACAGGTTAATAAGTAGACAAGTGTTACAAAAATGATAGAACTGTTTTAGAAATACGTTTATTATTAAACTAATTAATTTTATATTTGTTTATATAGATTAATGATTATAACAGAAAAGTAATCAATATTTCAAAATGTATTGTCTACTAAACTAAACAACAAAAATAGTCTACTTAAATTAAATACTAAAAATAGTTCCTGGTTGATATACCAGCCGATGATATAAAGGGTGTTCCAACGAAAACTTGTACCCTCCAAACGTTTGAACGGGTGAATGTGGACAAAATTCCTCGGACACGTTAATTTTTATTTCTAGGGGAACGCATTTTAATGTACAGGGTGATCCCCTATAATGTCGCCCCCTTTAACTTTTTATTTTAAGTGTCCCAAAAAATTTAAAAGTTTGGTTATGTAGGTACTAAAAAATACTTTTTTTCTACTTAAAAAAAAATTAATAATTTATCAATATACAGGGAAAAACAAAAAGTTTATTTTTTTTCAATGGATCACCCTATATATGAATTTATTTTTCGATTCCTTGTAAAATTCTGAGCATAATTCATATCACAAACCATATACCTAAACTCAACCGTTTCTAAAATATTCGCATTCGAAATAATATTAATAATATATTAATAAATGTTTTTTTAAACTGTTAGAAATCAAGAAGCTTCAGTATACCAAAATTTTTATTGAAAATAAGTTACTAAAGTGACATTATGTCAATATGACTTGTTAAATAAGTAAAAATGGTGTACTCAGACAGAGAAACACAAACTATTTCAAATTATTATTAACCATAATATAACAAGTGGTATAATTATCATCGATGATATTTTTGAATTGAAACCGAGCTGCAGATTTCACGAGTCCGCAGGACGAGTGAAATGTGCTGCTTCGGGTTCAATGAGTAAATATCATCGATAATTAATCATACCACGAGTTATATTTAGTGAGAAAATATAATAAATTTTAGGATTTAACGAATTGTTAGTTTGACATTTGAAATTAAAATGTGCTTTAAAATATAAAAAGACTTAGATATTTATTCAAACTTACCTTAATTTTATTATCGTTTACACCAACCCATCGATCTTTTAGAGTTTATAATTCATTATTTTAACCATTTATCAAACACAGTATTTAAATGTCAACAAATGTCAAATCAAGAAAAGGGTCAAAATCCTTAGCAACGTGTAAATAAGGTGATAAAATATATTGTCGCTGTGATAAAATGCGTAACCATGGAATACTGGCATTTTATTGGTTCTAATTATAATAAATTGTATTGTCTTAAAAATAATTTAAATATTTCAGAAACGGTTGAATTTAGGTATACGGTATGTTATATGAAATATGCTTAGAATCGAAAAATAAATACTTATATGGGGTGATCTATTGAAATTGAATTTTCTTTATACGTAGAAAAAAAGTATTTTTAAGTATGTACCTACATAACCACACTTTTAAATTTTTTGGGACACTTAAAATAAAAAAGTTAAAGGGGGCGACATTATAGGGGATCACCCTGTACACTTCACGCCCCCACCCGCACCCCTACGCGCTCTACCCCACCCGTTCCCAAAATCATAAATTGCACGGGCGGTTGAGTGATATAGTTTTAAAGGTTTGTCAGTTAGTTTTCGAGAAATTGCTATTTGAATTTTTAAATTCAGAGAAAAACAAAAAACTTGTAAATCAACGAATGTGGGTTTTGCAGCACCTGTCATTTTGGCCGTCATCACTTTGGCACCTGTCATTTTGCCAGCTTTTATTTTAACATCTATTATTTTGAAAGCTGTCATTTTAATACATGTCGTTTTGGCTCCTGTCATTTACCATTTTGAACAACGTCTGTACCATAGACTAGGGATAGGTTGGGTGGGCGGGGGGTTAGTACTATTGCATGGAAGTTGGAGGGAATCACTTTTATCAATACATTAATTGATTTATAAAAAAAAATTGTTTTTTCCTCAATTTAACTAATTAAAAAAAAATAGCAATTTCTTAAAAACTAACTGACAATTTAAAAAAAATACAGAATCTTATTAAGAATAAAAATACCTTTAAAACGATACGTCACTCAACCCCCGTGCAACTTAAGATTTTGGAGGGGTGGAGCGATTAGGGGTGCGGATCGGGGCGTGAAGAGTTCATTTAAATTCTTCCCCCTAGAAATAAAAATTGACGTGTCCAAGGAATTTTTTCAACATTCACCCTTTAAAACAACTAGCCCTAGTTACTAGGGGGTACAAGTTTTCGTTGGAGCGCCCTGTATTAAAAAATAAAGGTAGTTTACAAAATAAAATATGGATAACACTTTCGAAATATAAGGGATACATCATTTAAATTTGTATCAAAAGGCAATACATTAGACGTATAATATCGTTTTATAGCGGGGAACTATGTTTTCTTGATTATGTAGTTTTTCATGTAACCGAAACCTCTTCTTTCTACGCCGCTGGTCAAACTGGACCTTGGTCTTTTGAAATTTTGATTCGTTTGAAGCTTCTGGAAAAACGTTTGTTTCATAAAATTTAATTAATTATTAAATATTATATATTATATATATTTTGCAATTCACTTTTTTGGGCGTTTCATTTAATTTTACCAGGACTTAATTTAACATAATTATTTACCACTGTTGTAAAATTAAGAAAGGCAAAATTCTAGTTAGTCATGACTCATGACTAACAGATAGTTTGTAAAAACTAGTCAATAGTTTAAATTACGACTCGAACTGAGGCTTTCTTTTTTTCGCAGATATTCAGATTTGTTAGTAATTCTTATTGTTTCTTTTTTTGTTCGGAATTTGACACATTCGATTATGTTGGTACTTTATAGAAATATACGCTGGTACTTTCAATATTTAAAATTGGTACTCCTGTTAAATGCCTTAACTTTACTTTTACATTTTCATTTAAATGTTAGAAATATAATTAATAATGCTAAAAATAACAAAAAATTCCAAACGAAAACAATTTTTAAAAACAAAAACCGCATTATGGTAAAATAATTAATTTTTGCTGCAAAAATCCACTAAATAATTTACTTTTACTCAATGTAGCCAATTATAAATTTGATGTTTATGTTTAAAGTTGTCAAATTCCGAATAGAAAAAACACTGTACAACAAAGTTTGTAAGTATGTTTGGTATTATTTTTTTATAGTAATAGTTAAAAATTGTTATAATGATTTAATTTTAAGCCCAAAGGAAAAACTCCCATTTTGTGATTTGTTTTGCTTAATTTTATAAACTTTAACATAATACGAGAGTAGCATTGATTAATAAATCACTCCTTCACTCAACGATAGTAGTATTCTTTAGACAATATATAGGATATTTCTTAAGTAAAAAGTATTATGTTTAATATTGTAACAAATTTGGAGAATAAAAACTTACGAACAATAAAAATATATTTTTTTTAATATACTTTCAAAGGAATTAAAAAACTATAGTCTAAAACAGATTTGTCCTTTGTATTTAATCGGAAATTCCATAAATTGTACTGTTACTTTAATTTAATAGCAAAGATGTACCGTACCTTCATCTGCCTTTTATATGTTACCGGCAATGTAAAAATCCGGCAATGTGTAAAATGTCTAGATACTCTGCAAACTGACCAAATTACCGGAAATTGTGCAAAATCGCTTACATTTTGGGCAATCTGCAAATTTACTACGCTATTTTAGGCAATCTGATGCGATAGTCAATCTGGGGATTAAAGGTTTTTACTCCTCACAATTGTTATTAATAACTAGGCAGTGTGCGCAATACTTTTACTTCTGTCGAACTTTACTATTCAGTCAGATATTTATGATGGCGAGCGGAAAGAAAGGAATATTTTTAGAGAAAGTGAATACAAGTGAACCCAACCCAACTATTTGTTAATTTAATTTTTTTTTCCAAAAACTACTCGGGACTGAGTACCGAGTACACTGAAAGTACTTGGAGTATAGTGTTTGAGTACTTGTACTCGAGTACCGCACAGCTCTGCTGCCTACTCATCCTGATAACTAAAAACCTTTAATTCCCGGATTGACTATCCCATCAGACATTTTGATGATTGCCTTAAACAGCCGGATTTTTTACTTTGCCGGTAACATACATAGGGAAAATACCTTGTCAAGTGGATCAAATAATACGCGGTCAACACTAAGCGTATAACTTTTTTTAATACTTTAGGATAAGTGTGCCAATACGGTCAATACTAAGCGAAAAACTTAAAAAAATACAGTTGAACAAGTATACTTATGATGCGTTGTAACACAATTTCGAGGTTGGTGCTGACGGCATGTATCGGGGACTTTATTGCTATTTTGTTTTGCAATTGTATTTTTAAAATTTCTTCGGTTAGTATTGACCGAGTAATATCTGGTCCACTTCACACACTTTCCCAACAGTATTTTTAAAAGTTATTCGCTTATCGTTTACCTCGTCTTATCTGGTCCACTTGATAATGTATTTTCCCTATGTATACCCAGAAGATGAAGGTACGGTATATAATAGTATATTATTATACGAGAGATATTGCGCATAATCTTGAGTGTAATACTATAGATAAATAAATAAAATCTGACATCTTTCAAATGCTTAACCTCACTTTTTACCAATTTTGAATGTTATTATAGTCACCTTATCCCAATTTAAAACCCTATTGGTTCAAATCACAGTGAATATTGAAATCCTTCCATCAGTGATGCCCAACACCGTGAATAATAAGTTCATTATTTACGTTGTTGGGCAGGAAATTTATGATGTTTATAATTATTCACGGAAAAAAATCCAATATTATGCAATAGGAGTAAATAAATTATATTTAATCTTTGCTAATAGTTTAAATACCTCACTTCCTAGCATAATGCTTCTTATGTAACTATATTATATAACTATATATAGTTAACTATATAATTATATATATGCAAATCCTTAATTATTTAATTAATATTGTGCGAGTGGGAAAAATAGGAGATTCCTCGAGCGTGAACATGTTTGTTTTTATAGTGGTTGCCTAAAATTTTATATTACCAAAAACCTAAATTTCTTAATTTGGTGGCAGAAATATATATATGTCTCATTTAAAGAGTTTATTTGGAAACCACTATATAACTTTTTAAAGAACTTTTTATATAACTTATAGTTACCATAAGTAATAAACTCACTTTTTCCCAAATTTAACTTAAAGCTAACTTTAGCCTGTGAGCGAAATGCTATTTCGCCCTCTATAGTGGGAGAAGTAAACTTTCGCATACCGCTTAAGTTAGGAATCTAAATGGGAGTTGAATAAAATAATTTTTGTAACGCACTTCCTGTTTATTTACCTATTAGGCACATACTTAGTCATTGTTAAAATTAGCAAATATAACAAGTTTTCCTTATTAAATTATCACTTAGAATTAGGATTAAAAACATTTGCAAATAATAAATTTTTCAAATAACCCGTTTAGCAAGTATCTACATTTCTTACTGTATGTTATAATTGACTTGTTTTCTTTGAAAATAGTTAACAATAATATCAAACAGTTTTATTTAGATCCCATGTGTAAACCTTAACATTAAGGTGTGCCACCAAGCATGGTTTTATTAATTAAGGCATTTAACGCCAAGCGGGCAACTATAAAGTTGTCCGATTTTGTTTAAATTTATTCAAATAAAAAAGTGAAGATAAGAAATTTTTTGCAGAAACTCAATGAGAAAATTGAAAAGAAGTTTATTAATTTATAAAGTACTCAAAAAGTCTACCACCAAGTTCCATACAAAAATAAAAAATTTGTTCAAACCGCCTTCTAACATTTTAAAGTATTTGGGGAGTTCAGCATTTATTCACAATACGTTGTCCAAACTCTTGTAGAGTTCCCGGCTCTGTTTCGTAAATTAAACTTTTTAAATAGCCCCACAGGAAAAAGTCAAATCTTGAGATATGGCCGGCCAAAGCAGAGCTCCACTGTCTAACAGGTAGTGCATAGTGTGGACTTCGGTGAAGACCATTTATCGTTACCACCGGATGGGGCACCTTTACAGTGTAAAGTCACTTTATACTATAAAGGTGCCCTATCCGGTTGTAACTTAAATGGTCTTCCAAGTATACTTTCTATAGCATAATCATTGTCTAAATTATCGACCAGTAAGAAAGGAACTACATTTTCTAGTAATTCGAATAACTCATTTGTCAATCACCATAATAATTATTGTCGCTACTGGTCAGATGCAAATCCAAGTCCCTACTCAAAACTCCTCAAAAATTTATTGTCTGGGCATTCTTCTTGATGATAACCTGACAGGAAAAACGTATTAAGAATTATTCTTAATACGTTTTTCCTGTCAGGTTATCATCAAGAAGAATGCCCAGACAATAAATTTTTGAGGAGTTTTGAGTAGGGACTTGGATTTGCATCTGACCAGTAGCGACAATAATTATTATGGTGATTGACAAATGAGTTAAGAAAAACGTACAGTCGTCTGAAAAACAGATGTTGAGGTATCACTTGCCCTATCATGCCATTTAAAATTTCAGGGGTTTTGGCCACTACGCGAAGTGATTTTCAAGTGCAATCATTGCAAAATAATAATGTTATTACAAAAATCCCCATCTTAACGGTCGTTAATATTTACATCAATTATGTAGGTACCTACATATTAATGAAAAATATATATAAATATTCATAAATAAAAAAAATAACATTTACCTATTATATATAATATCGAAGTTGTGGTTTTATTAACAGTCAGTTTAAATAATATATAATTATTACCTATAGTACAAAGTAAATTACTTAATACAAAAATAATCAGGGTAAATTACACAGTAGTTTATTGTTTATAATTAGTATTCTTTCTGAATTTTGTATATAAAATATTTATAATTTATTTACAGGGTGGCTCAAAATAACCATTATTTTTTCCTTACATTATTTGAAATAATAGCTAATTTTAAAATAATAAATTATTATTATTATTTAAATGTTATTTGTTAACTGCTTTAGAGGCAATTATGGAATACCTAGGTCAAATTTGTGTCTAAAGTTCAATTGTACATTACATGTGTCAAAATAAGTAAATATTTGGTGGAGTTACATAATTTGAAATTCTAGCTGATGTCAAAATAATAAGTTATTATTATTAAATGTTGTTTGTTAACTGCTTTAGAGGCAATTATGGAATACCTAATTCAAATTTGTGTCTACAGTTCAATTATTAATTACATGTGTCAAAATATATATTAGGTAGAGTACCAACATAAAAAAATAATAAAACCTATTTTATATTACATATTGTTTCTTAGATGAGTTGGGTTGGGATGGGTCCATACAACCTGGAATAAATATGCATAAAATGAATTTGTTTATAAATAACATTAAATAAAACTAAAAACAACACCATTAAAATCACAACATAAAATTAGTAAGTATACAAGGTGTCCCTAAACTTAGTGGCATAAATTTAGGAGCAGATTAAGCAAGTCAAAATAAGACGAAAATCTAAATAAATATTTTTCCTAATTACGTATGTTTAAAAGATACAGGGTGATAAAGTGTTACTTATCATACCAGTTTTTTTAATATAACTTCTACTATGGTAGACTTGAAAAGGTGATATTTTGCGAACAGTCACTTACTACCAAAACACATATTCACACATAATTACAATTGTTTGAGTGAACACAGTGTCGTAGAAACAGGGGTTGCTTAATCTTATTGTCCCATACAAACTTTGAGGTTAGGTTTTTATACCATTTCATTCAATTTTTCGATTACTCAGTTCGGCTACTATTAAAAAGGTGTACCTCTCAAACTTCGATAAAATTAACCGTTCTCGAGATATTCGAGATTACAATAATTGTTATATCGCATTAAAGGACTAAAAGTTATATGATAAAAAAAAATTTAATTGAAAAAACTACATTTTTTTTAATCTGCCGGTCAGGCAAAAAGTCCCGAGGCTCATGGAATGCCCTTTTTAGTTTTTTCAATTAAAAAATAAAATTTGTTATCATATACCTTTTAATACTTTTAAATAATGCGATAAAACAATTATTGTAATCTCAAATATCTCGGAAACGGTTTATTTTATCGAAGTTTGAGAGGTACACCTTTTTAATGGTAGCCGAACTGTTTAATCGATAAATTGCATCAAATGTTACAAAAACCTAACCTCAAAGTTTGTATGGGACAATA